GGGGACGTAAGGCAGAGTGGTGTGGGGCGGCCCGAGGGGATGGGAGAGGGTCCGGCCCACGCTGCGCCTGGGCTGGGACTGGTCCCGCCGGCGCAGGGCAGCAGGAAGCTCTCCACACACTCACCGGACCTGGGCTAGGACTGGGTCTCTAAAAAAAGGCTTTTTAAAAGCAAAAACGGTAACAGCTGGTGCTAGGTGGCCAAAGCAGCTATTGGATGAATTTGTATGTGGGCAAGTAGTGGTTTAGGAGATTCACTGTTGATACGAGGTCATAAGGTTCTAAGTAAGAAGAGAATAAGAAAGAGGTGTTGCAAGGAAAAATTGACAGCATTTAATAGTGCTTATGGTACAAAAAAATAAGGGCAAATGAATGATTCAAAGTTTGGGAGATTTAAGTGATGTTGGCAGCATAAGCAAAAAGGCAAATAAATTTACCAGATTACAGGAATCAGTTTTCAGTGATAACAAGCATTGTGCTCCAGCAGTTTGCCAACAGTGGTGTAGGACAATGTTTATTTTTATTGTCAGAGTTTGAGGCTTTAGCCAAATACTTGGATCATTAGTACTAGAGAGTTTCTTGTATCGTTGACACTTGAAACCATGGGAATTGGTATGAGATCTCTGTAATGGAGTGAATTGAAAATGATAATTTTTAGAAAAACTTAAAAGGGCTAAGAAAGAACCTTAGGATAACAATTGTTGGAAAGATTGAAGATGAAAAGCAGAAAAGGAAGGAAACCAAGAAGGGCATTATTTTTGGATGACATATGTGGTTAGTGAATGTTAGTAAGACATTAAACTAAAATGGCCAGGATTGTGATTTGGTGTCCTGCAGGTTTTCTTGTTACTGCTTTCTAAACCAAGTCTCAGACTGCCCAGGCTTGTTGGAACTCCTGAGCTCAAGTGATCCACGTGCCTCAGCCTCAGTAGCTGGGCCTGTAGCCATGACCACTGTGCCTGGCTGTGGAAGCTTTATGAACTGTCTTTAAAAAATAACACTTTTTCAATTGGAGATTTAAAATTCTGTTAATGTTTTCTTTTTCTTTAGGGCAAGTGGAAAAATAAGGAACGGGTTCTCATCTTTTCTTCAAGAGGAATAAATTTCAGAACAAGACATTTAATGCAGGATTTGAGGACCTTGATGCCTCATTCTAAAGCAGGTATATTTATATCATGTGCTTGAAAAATTTCTATTTATAAACTTGCCTATTTTTATATTGACTTTGCACTTACAGTCTTGCCAGGTAAAGAATGGCAGCACCTCAGAAGTTTACCCTTTCGAGTACCACAATTTTTAACAACACTTCATAAGAAGTTATTTACAAAACTCATTAGACGTTTTCTTCTGCTTTTTAAGCAGCTTTCCTACTATTGAAACATTCAGTGGCTTAATTTTAGTGACTTTAGAGTCATGAGGTGAATGAAATTGTTTATTCTTCTGTTTCAAAACTGCCATGTACATTTTTCTTAGCTTTTTAAACATCTCCATTACATATTAGTGAATATGGGATAAGCTGTAAAGGACCTTTAATTGGGCTCTGCCCATTTCTGAATTACATGTTGTTACTGTTAGCAGTGGAGTATCTTGGGTCTAGTCTTGACCCATGGCAGTGCCATCATGTGGCTATTTTGTCCCTAGATTGAAAGATACTTTTGGTTTTAATTCTGTGTAATAGCTTTCTGCTTTATACCTGTATTTCCAATTGGAGTCTGTTGTAATGTTTTCAAATGAAAAACTAGTAAGAGAAAATTGAATTTATGTATTTTCTATGATAATATAAACCAATTTTTATAATAAGGCTTTTTGACACCTATTCAAAATTAAAAGAGGTTTTCAGTGATTTAAGATTTTAGTTTCTTAAAGGATTTTTTTTTCTCTTAAACTGGGTTTATTGAACATAGTCAGTTTATGAGGGTTTTCCTACTTTTGAACAGAAATTTATAGAACACAATCCTCTGTATCCATGGGTTCTGTATCTGCAGATTCAATCAACTGCAAATTGAAAAAATTCAGGAAAAAATGTTTGTACTGAATATTAATGCATTAATATCCCTTAGTTATTGTGCTTGTCAGGCCCACAATTGCCTAAAGAAGTGTATGATAAAGGCTTAAATAAATGAGTCAGGAAGTATGATTTTAAGGCTCTAGGAGGATCAGAACCTTCTAACAGAATTCAAAATTTTCTGAGGCTAAGACCAAGATCTTTGTTTTTATTTAGTTATCAAAACAACATAGGGTAATACCAAAGAAAGATGGAAATCTGAGGACCATTCAAGGATCTTGGAAGTCTCAAGAGCTCCTTGAGGACATTATGTTAATTTAGGAGAACCAGGTTAGCTCCAGGAAGGTCTCCACCCAGGAGTGAGATGCCTGCATCTACAGTCTTCAGTTAATTGAGGTCAAAAGCAGGTGTTTTGAGCTGTGGCCCTGTCTTATCCTTTGAGGTGTCCTGGCTTTACCCTTTACGGGCCTCCGTTGGGACCAGTGACTCAAAGGTTCACTTAATGAGTCTGCTGCCCATCTCCAGACAAGGAGCCTAGGCCTTTGACAGACTCACAAGTAAACATGGAAAGCCAGTTGGTTCCTGCTCACAGCCACTACATAGTGGTCTCCATCAGAATATACAGACTTTAGTCACTCTTTCTCCAGAGGATACAGTATAGCAGCTATTTACATGGCACTTACATTGTATAAGGTATTATCAGTAAGGTATAGAGATAATTTAAAGTGTGCTTGAGAGTGTATGTAGTACTTTGATTATATCCAAGTGTTTATATCCAGTATTTTACATAAGGCACTTGAGCATCTAAAGATTTTGTTACTTACTGGGGCTCCTGTACCCGTTCTCAGGTTCTAGAGGATGACTACCTTAAGTCTTACATACTGCTTAAAATAATTCATAGTTTTTGAGGATTTTTACTAATATTCTTTACATTTAAAAAGAACCTAGGGGTTATATGTTTTCAGATCTAATTTGAAAATTAATTAGAAAATCTCCTTTAGTTTGAGTAGTCTAAAAACAGAGTTATTTTTTAATAGCATATATGACCTGATTGAAATACCTTTTAAAACACTTCACTAACTTGTTCTTTTTTCTTTTTTAGATACTAAAATGGATCGAAAAGATAAATTATTTGTGATTAATGAGGTAATTTGAGAAACTAATAAATGTTTTAGGAATGCTAAAGGAGGTTCATTAAAAAATTGTGGAAGATACTCAAATTTTATTAACTTAAACCTATCTTGTGACTGTTTATAGTACTTATTATTCTCATAATTTAGTGCTTTGGTACGCAGTATATAATTTTTACATCATTTCTATGTGTCTTACATTGAACTTTTCTAAGGACAGATACCTTATATTTTCTTTCCATAACATCTATTAATTTGTGCAAAGTTCACAGTAGGTATAAGGATGATTAACTCAAGTAAAATAGTTTGATATATGAGACAGTCTTGCTATGTAGTTCAGGCTAGTCTTGAACTTACTATGTAGTCTAGGCTGGCCTTGAACTCATGACAATCCTCCTGCCTCAGGCTCCCAAATCCTGAGATTACAGGTGTGTACCACCAAGCCCAACTAGAATTTTTTATAAAAAGTTATAGAAAACATTACAAAAACCATTTTGCCAGTATTAAAAATGATGTATGTGAAGCCAGCCATAGTGGCACTAGCACTGGGAGGATGAAGCAGGAGGATCACCAGTTCACAGCCACGCTGGGCAACTTTGTGAGACTCTTCATAAAGTAAAAAGGGCAGGGAATGTAGCTCAGTGTGAAGACTAGGTTCAATCCCAGTACCACAAATAAATACATGCACACAGTACACAGTACATACATATGTAAAAGAATATATACGTAAAATTTACTTTTAAGGTATTATAAACTAGTACTCTAATGGATTAAATTTTCAGAGTTTGTTAAATTTTCAGAGACCAAACATTGTTTAGAACAGTTGTTTTTAGATAACTTTCTTGCTGTGAAAGGCTTCCTTTGTGTTATTGAATATCTGCTGTAACATGGTATTGTTCTTTGTGCAGTGGGAACAGCATGCTATTGTGAATGATTGTATTAGAGAGGTATGGTGGAAAAGCATCTTAAGTAGAGAAAATGGCAAGTACCATGGCCCAGAAGTAGCATGAACTTTGCATTGTGGTTTATTCTGAGACAAAAAGGTGTTGACATAAAATTTTTTAGATAGTTATCCTTGAAATCTCAAGTTGTTTATAGTTTATGAGTACTGTATTAGACAATTTGTATTATCTTAATACAAGAGTTAATCTTACAATAATTTTGTATGTGTGTTTGTAAACCTTCAGGATACTGAAGTTCGGGCTGATGAGATGGCTCAGTGGTCTAAAGCACCTACTTAGAACAAGCTTAGCAAAGCACAG